GATCAATCCTAAAGGCCCAGTGGAGTATATTTATGGATAGGTTCAATGGATAAATGGGCCAAATCTAACCATTCCCATCCTGAAGTAGCGGTGGCGCGGTTGCAATAGCAGTGGCGGCTGCGGTGGATGTTGCCGGATTTGGTCCTCGGCCAGAGCCGGTGGCCGACCAGTACGAGCAGGGGGCACGAACGCAACACGGGTTGGCCGAGGAGGCGCGGCGGCGGCCGGCGATGGAGGGGTGCGGCTGGTGACGGCTTGAGGCCGTGGAGGCTGACGCGGCGGCGTGAGTGTGGTGTGGAGGCCGTGTGGTGTGGTGCAGGTCGTGTGGCGTCGAGGTGAGGGCGGTGGCATGGAGGCGTGGTGCAGCCGACAGCGGATGGCAGCGGCGGCGGCGGTACACTGGCGCTGGTGGCGTCAAGAGGTTCGGTACAGGCGACGGCAGGGAGGACAGCCCGACCGATGGCACGGAAGGCTGACGTAGCGACAGTAGTGAGGCCGACGTGGTGATGGCAAGAAGGCTGGTGAGGCTAGCTGGAGGTGGGCGCCGGTATAGCATTACCCACACGCCGATGGAGGTTTGACGGGAGAAGGAGCAATGTGGCATCAGCGGTGGATAGGCAGGCGGTGGGCGAGGGGTGAAAGCCTAGCTAGGGATGGCAACGGGGCGGGGCGGGGGCGGGTTGGGCTGGAACGCCCCCGACCCCAACCCCCGACTTCACCCCCCGCCCCCGGCCCCGACCATGGATGCGGGTTGAAAACATCACCCGTCCCCGACCCCTGCGGGGCCCCGCAACCCGACCGGGGCCCCGCATTGGTAGCATCTCCATCCAATCAGCTCAAAAAATACAACACAATCATCATTTCAGCAAAAACAAATATTGTGCATAATTAACACACCATAAAAAATAGCATGAATACTTAAATATCATCATAAAAATTCAGCCAAGGAATTAGCTGTAAGTTTACATTGGCTATTACATGGGTTTTTTGGCTTTCTTTGACCTATACTTTGAGGTTTATATGTACCCCCGGGGCCCCGCGGGTTACCTGTGGGTGAAATTAGTCCCCCGTTCCCTCCCCGCCCAAATGCGGGGCCCCGTACCCGACGCACCCGCGGGTCGAAAATCTCCCCTGCCCCTGCCCCCGTAGGGGCGGGTCCCCGCAGGGGACCCGGCCCCGCGGGGGAAATTGCCATCCCTAAGCCTAGCCTAGTTTTGGCCAGACCGGCAACGACGGCGTTTGCATCGCATTCCCTCTTGAGGGCGCTGTCGTGTCATCCTATCGCCTCTAGAGAATTTACCGGGTAAAAACCCAGTCTTGGTGACGGATGACGGCGGCGGTGTTTCTGTCGCTGCTCTCCCTGGAGACGTTGTCTAGGCAACCCCTAACCGAAACCTCCCAAATAACTGGTGCAAGCTCGCTCTAGATCTCGATCCTCTTGTGTCGGCGCCCTAGTTTATAAAAGGTGGCCACGTCGTAGGTTAATATGGAACTCAGGGAACACATGTAGCTCGTGCGGTTAATACGCTATAGTCATTTAATTATTTTTTTCACCGAATTAGCATGACCTTGCAGTTACCACCCGAACTGCACTAGCACCCTCTTTATCGGATTGTATATATATGCTTCATTATCGTGGGATTACGACGACCATGACGGCGGCCAGAAAGATCACCTTTCCAATTTACGCGCTCGATCGACAATTAATCTAGCTAGTAGCTAGTATAGTAGGCACGAGTGTAAATTAATTAATTATCTAATAGAAAGAAAGGCACGAGTGTAAATTACAGCCGTGTGTGCTGTTGCACACGCATGTAGCGCGCTTTACTTTGATGGAATCAGTGAGTAAAATATGTGCGCTTTTTTAGCTTTTAATGATTGGTTAATGAATTTAATTACTACCTCTTTTTCCACAAGGTTTGCATCCTTTTTGTGCTTTATTTTTGTTTCCACATATTATGGGGCTAGCTAGTGACCTATTTTGGGCTTTCTTACTAAAGAATATATGCGACTTATTATCGATCTAGTCGACAACTGCAAGTTATATATTCTATCGATCTGTGTAAGGAGCTTTATCACTGAATTGAAGATGTAGTTTTGGTGAGAACTGAAGATGAAGATCACAACGTACTGTTCCAATATCAACTGCAAACTAACCAATCGATGTCTATCCTGAGTTCCACGCAACTTACAAAAAGCGCTACCTAGCCGCATTTATGTAATTGCGTTGTTAACTGAAAGCAAAACGATTGACCTTTCAACATTCTTAGGAAGTGAAAAAACAACCGATCAAAAACCAAATAGGAATATATAATTAGTTAAGGCCCATTGCTGCCTTTTGTTTGTACAAAAATGTGATTTCGATTGTGCGGAACGAAAAATCCTCTAAAGCAAAATAGTTTTTATTGGATACAACCATTAATTGTAATCTCAATTATACTTTTTTGTAATTTCCTCTGTACATAGTACTTTTTCCCCTTATGAAATTAAATATACACTGCTAGGTAAAAGCCGGGCAGTTCCCCTCTAAAAGAAAAATGTAATTTCTATTCATTTTAGACATTAAACCCCATACATATTTTTATGAAAGTTTTTTTTTTGGATCGACTATATTTTTAGGATAGCTGACTCTTCCCATAATTAATGCATGAGAAATTCTCCGTGTTAACGCTCCTCTCTAGGAGTAGAAATTATCTATGATATTGAGTTAAATGCATCGATCAGTCAATTCACTCAAAAGATTAAGATGATAAAGAAAAGACATACATAATCCACTAATGTCTTTAGAATGTTCTAGTCAGTTAATTTGAACATTTTTCCATATCAATGTACACACAGGTTGCACAACTTTTAATCAACTAAAGTCCACAAAGAATTCTACAGTAATGCACAGGCACGACCGCACGAGGTCAATACTATGAAAGATAAATTCCACACTATATCCCATTCATATACGCTAACTCTCATTTCAGTAAGGTTGTTGAGAACTTTAAGAGTTGGACAGTGTGTGCATGCATTGCTGCGCTAGCTATGTGTTCTTACAACTTTTCAATGAGCTGAACAAACTTAGTTAGATGAGATGTACACTATATACGGCCATATGCAAATCAATACCTAACGTAGTATAGAGTTTTTTTTTTTTTTTTGGAAAATAAGTAATCGGTAACCACATGTAGTACGTACGCCGGCATCTTAAAAAGTGCAAACTTATCTGGAGATAAATAGTGTTCAAAGGTCCAAGAAAACAGCTGCATGCCAAGAATATTTGTATATATATCGATTCGTCGATTAGGTGAAGCAGAGACAATAATACAAATATAATCCTGGAATTAAAAGAGACGGTTTAGAACTTTGCTGCTGGACCGTAGTGTATATGTACGCCTTGTCGCTTGTCATCGAAAAGGTGAGACTGATTGCTGGGAATCGAATCGTCAAAAGGTGACGGCAACTTGTCCGGTCTTGAGCTATATCATTGAGGAGACGATAATTAATCAGATGGAGCTAGCCAAGAACAAATTCGATGGCGAGATCCGTTTTCAACACACTTTAAAGTCAAAAAGTTATGGAGGACCATGCACTACTATATGGCCCTAGGAAGTTAATTTGTACAAGTTTTCCTACCAAGAGGCACATCACAAGGATTTTTAGGTGCATGGCTCCGATTTCTTTTGACCCGTCGTCGCTAAACCCTAGTACATGTTATGTTTTGGATATGATATTGATATTTGGGAACGATCAGGTAATAATACTACCTCCATCCTAAAATGTTTGACGCCGTTGACTTTTTTAAAAATGTTTGACCGTTCGTGTTATTTAAAAAATTTAAATAATTGTTAATTCTTTTTCTATCATTTGATTTATTGTTAAATATATTTTTATGTATACATATAGTTTTACACATATCACAAAAGTTTTTAAATAAAACAAACGGTCAAACATATTTAAAAAAGTCAACGGTGTCAAACATTTAGGGAAGGAGAGAGTATTAAGTAGCAAGTTGTTTAATAGGGCCGGATCACCTAGCTAGCTAGTGGCGAAGTTACCGTGTTGCTAGTGTGGAGTAGTGCAACATATTAAAGCGGGAGATGGCGATCTTATCGCTAGCTTGCCCAACTTAGTATGTACACAAGCTGATAAAGAGATCCACCATCATATACATATCATATCCAACCTTGCAACTGGCAACTGGAACGATGGCGATAGCAACTAGAGTTCACCGCGTCTAGGTACACTCAATACATATGGTTTATCTTGAGAACCGTATGTAATATTCCTATTATAAATAAATGGTTATCAGATACTAGCTATTATAAAACGTTTACATATGATTCCCAGAGACTACCTATGACTAAGCGTTTACATATGATTTTCTAGTAGTGTACGTACAACCCTAGTGATTTAGGGACTCAACCCTACCTAGTAGTATCGGACTATATACTACTTATCGGCACACTAAGTTTGACCATTAACCATGTATGAGCATCACTAAGCTGCAAAGATCGTCGTACTTTTTGCAGAGCTTACACTCTCTCTGCGTTGTTCGACAACAAGAGTCAACTCTGGTTACCCGATCTGTTTGTTGTCGGCAATACCGAGCTAGCTAATACTATACTACTAGCTTATAAGTCGGGCAGCCAATAACTTGCCTCCAACAATATTGGCAAGGATTGGCATTTAGCTTATGTTTAACCTTTCTCTTGCATTATTAGCTTTTGTTACAACTTGTATAAGTTGAATTTAAACTTGTATATTTGTGGAGTGATATATTTCATATTAATCTATGTTGCTAATTTATTTTATATTTTTTGATGGCTATTTAGGTGACATACACGAAACGAGGGATGATTTAACTTTCCCACATCCATGATTGTCTAATGGTAAAAAAAAAGTGAAAGTTTGGCTATTCACAGTCACCAGACACATATAGTCGTCAATCACTCCCTTTTTATTTTTCAAAAAAAATGAGAATTTCAATGTAACATACCACACAATACCAGCCATAAACGAAAACGCAAATATTTTGCTTCAGTAACCAGTAAATTCTGAATTTCATTTTTTGGCTGCGGCTCAATTATATTACGCCAACCTCCATACAATCTGGGTTCAATTTTTTCCCCTCTGTACCTGTTTGAGCGCTACAAAATGCTCAGTAGTTACATCTCAGTATTTTACCCCTGCAAGGATTCTACTGCTCCCTTGTACAGTTGTACACACTTTTTTACTGTACTACGTCCATAGACTGTAAAAAAAGAAAATTACTGTCCACTTTTTACCAGTGGATGCTCTGCTCAAAGCAGCAAGAGAGAATCAGAAGAATCATCCGCTGAACGGCCTGTACACCTTGAGCGCGTCGATGACGTCAGCAATGGAGCCCGCGGCGGCGGCGATGGAGACGACGAGGCAGCACGCGCTGAGCGTCTTGAGTGAGACCCACCTCGCGCTGCCACGTGGCACGCCGCGCTGCGCGATGTACATCTCGACGGGGAAGTAGACGGTGAGCGGCCAGAAGGAGACGGCGCCGAGGAGACCCACCACGTTGCCGAAGAAGGGGAGGAGCATGGCGACGACGGTGGTGAGGCAGACGAACGCCGAGCGCCACGTCAGGCGGAAGAGGCTGAGCGCGAAGGGCCCCACGCGGAGCTCCTTGGCGATGAACGCGCTGTCCGGCCACCGGCGGGAGGCCCAGCGCTCGACGAAGGCGAAGATTGGCTGGACGAACACCTGGTAGGCGCCGACGAGGTGCACGACGATGGCGACGTTGGCGACGTCGAGCAGCCAGAAGGGCTCGTAGAACCCGAAGCCGGTGAGGAGGTTGTCGGGCGCCGCGTCGCCGAACGCCGCGTAGCCCATGCACCCGCACAGCATGTAGAACACCGTGGTCGTCGCCACGCTCAGCCTCGTCGCGCTCTTCATCACCTTCGCCTCCGACGGCGGCGGCGCCTTGATCGTGTCCTGAACAACAAAACAAAACAGAGCAAGCAGCGATCGATGAGCAAATTAACCTTGTTCGTTCAAACAGAGCAAATTAACTTTGTAGTGAGTCTCACTCACTTGGATCTCGATGAGGATGTTGGAGAAGGAGTATGCGAAGGCGATGTCGCCGAATGCCTGCAGGCTGCGCCACACCTTCTGCGTTGAGCTGACGCCGACGCCGATGCTGATTCCGGTGAGGCTGCCCTGGATCCCGCCATTGGCTGCAAATTCACAGCTCATCACGGTCAGCATATGCATCTCGAGCAGCAAAGACAAATTAAAGAACTAGATTATCTGTATGTGACAGAAGAATTAATGGACGTACAGATTGTCTGGACGATGCCGAGGGAGAGGCCGATGCCGGAGTAGGTGAAGGACATGACGGCGGCGACGATGGACAGCCACCAAATCTGGTCGAAGTCAGGGATCTGCGAGAAGACGATCTGCACGGCGCCGAAGAGGATCATGTAAGGGTTGCTGGAGCTGCGGCACGGGTCACCATGGCCGTTGTGGTGGAAGCAGCCGGCCCTCCTGATGGCGCGCATGCTGATGGACGACGCGATGGTGTAGCCGATGGCGACGCCGACGAGGTTGGCGTACTGGATGACGCCGCAGAAGGTGACCTTGGCGCCGCCGAGGTTGGCGCGCACGGCGTCCATGTAGGTGTAGTTGCGCTTGCCGGTGGCAGGGTCGCCGGTGCGGTAGCACTCGGCGAGGAGGGTGGAGGTGTAGTAGATGACGAAGGCGAAGAGGAGCATCACGGCGGGGCCGGCCACCCAGCCCAGCTGCGCGATCGCCCACGCCAGCGACAGCACGCCGGAGCCGATGACGGCGGTGATGATGTGCGCGCTCGCCGTCCAGAACGTGCCCGTCCGCCGCGCCCGCCCGTCGTCGTCCAGCCACGCCGCCTCCCCGGCGTTCCCGGCCTCCACCGACACCTCCATCGGCTTCACCACCTTCTGCCCCGACGCCATGTCAGACACCTCGCAGCTACTGCGAATGGATCGAGGTGTTGGAGGATTTGAGGAAGTGTGAGCTCGAGTGTTTGTGGAAATGGCGGGAGAGTGAGGGGGAATATATAGGCGGAGATGGAGGAGTCTGAGTTGCCGCGTTTTTTTTTTTTTTCGTTTCTGTCACTTGCTGCAGTACAGCACGACAGCACAAGTGTCCTTCTGGCGCGTGAGAGGATGGATGGATGGATGCACGAGAAATGTGTGGTTTTTTGTCTTGTGTTAGGACAGGAGACACAAGGTTAGCTACTTCATCCGTTTTACAATATAAGTTATTCTAGCATTTCCCACATTCATATTGAGTTAATGAATATATATATATATATATATATATATTCATTAATATCAATATGAATGTGAGAAATGCTAGAATGACTTATATTGTGAAACGGAGGGTGTAGTTACTTCCTCCGTTTCACAATGTAAGTTATTGTATAATTTCTCACATTCATATTCATGCTAATATGAATGTGGGAAATTCTACAATAACTTACATTGTGAAACGGAGGAAGTAGTTAGTACTGGTATTTTGTTTCACTTTAAGGCTTGGTTTGGGAGGCCTAATTCCCGGCCTATCATTCTACAATGGATTAATTACCAGTAAACTACATGATGTACCGGTGTTAAGAAAATGGCCTTTTCTCCGGTACCTACTCAAGGATCATAAAATCACATCAAGACTGAGAGGATGAAGAAGATTTTAGAGATGTTTGAAAGTGATAATGGATGAAACTGAGTTTATCACAATTATTAAATGGCACAAACGGAAAATTAAATGTTAGAAAGTTGTTTTGGAAAATGTTTTCTTACTAGTGAAGTGTAAGAAATGCTTATGAGATTTTCCTTTTTTTTTAAAACAGAGAAGCATAGTTTGGAAGTTTGGGAAGTGTGCCTATAATCATAAAAGAAAAGGCCTATGCTTAAGTGAGATAGCACTGATGTGGTTTTAAGTTGGCATTTTATATGTATAGATTACGCTTTCGGTATATAGCCACGCTTCTTACAAAACTCACAACACTATGAATGAACTGATTCATCAAGTATAAATGCCACTAAGTTTTGCTAACCACAGCTTCGCATCCATGGATATCACACATTTAATTTCCACCTATTTCTGTAGCTTTAATGATCAACCTGACAAAATGGAAGTAAATTCACGTGGATAATGTGCCAAAAGAATAAACAGAGTGACAGAACAACACAGCACAAGTCTTATTCTAGGACAAACAATGTCTGTACAAGGTACGACTTGTATGTTTCGATTTCACCCACAATCAATGTCACGTGCTAAGAGTTTTTAAAAAAAGGTCAGGTGCTATCATATACTCTCCCTGTCCAAAAATAAATCAACTTCTGAATTCAAACTTTGTTCCAAAATAAATCAACTTCCACCTTCTCATTGAAAAATTTTATTCCTTAAATATCCCTTACCTATATATCCACCAATACTAATTTATTATTAATAAGGTGTATTCTGGTACTTTATCTTCTTTAATTTTGCATTGAAAAGTTAGGAGTTGCCTATTTAGGGGACGGAGGGAGTACGTTCTCGCTTAAAAGAGGTTAAAAACTAAAGTAAAAAACTTGCTTGCTCGTCTAGCTAGCTTTCTCATGTTGTCATGGAGCTGAGACAAGCCGAGTGAAGCAACGGTTTTATACTCATCTCATAACAAGCCGATTATGACTTTGTAGTCATCTGGTTCATTTATTATTATGTGTCCTAATTGAATATATGGATTTAGATCTACAATAATATATAATAGAGCAGTATATCAGTCAAAAGGAAAATGAAGTACATATTTGTAAATAAAATTAACCCTAAAAGTCTACGATAAAATAGACACAAGAGTGTTTATAAGTTATACCAGCTACTACCTTTGTTCACAAATATAAGACTTTCTAAAGATGATAATTTGTGATCGGAATTGTCGGTAGTATTACCTATGCAGTAATATATAGTCACTGGCGTATGAACCCGGCCCACTTGTAAGTGGTTGCTTCTACACAAAGTACTGCAAATAATCCATGTCCGATCATCTGCCCACAAATATATATAAAATTTTGTAGCTTAGAGTATTACTTTTCACTCAAACCACCTCTCAAAATTTCTTGTATTTGTTGTTGCATTTGGGCATAATCTTTCATAATTAAGTAAACTTCTAAGGGCATCAAAGTAATTTTAAATTAAACTTAATTTATGCTAAAACTCCAATTAAAGAAAGCCTTATATTTATGGATGGAGAAAGTAAATAAAAGCTGCATATATATATCTTGCGGCTGGCCCATACATATGCGTTAATTATTTCATTAATAATTCAAAAGCTGGAGACAAACAAAGTTCTCTAGCTTTTGATTTGAGAATCTATAAGCAGTAATAAGCACAGTTTTCTGTTTTCGAAAGTGCCAAAGCGAATATTAATTAGATGACGAGATTCGTTTATGATAAGAACCTTCAATTCCATAAATCCCATTTATACTAGACGTCTCATTCATTATCCATCAAGTAAATTATTTTGGCACGTTTAGTTTATCCTTAGTTGGTGCGTGGGGCAAGAAAAAAAGAAACCTTAAGATAATATCACTTTTAGCTTTTTCTTTACAGTCCACTTAAGTTTAGAGCATCTATACATATAAGGTAATATGGTATGGTTAATTATAAGTAGCATCGTGCATTCGTGCTCCAAAGTAATTTGGATGCGTTATTCACGTGACTTCAGTTCTATGTGGCACTTACAATTTTTTTACGAGGATTAGAAAGAGAACAAAACCAAGTGAGAAGTGAAAGTGATTGGTACAGTCGGAAAAATAAAATAAGAGATGATTGTGTTAAGGTGAGATAAAAAGTAAATAAAGAATATATGTTTTATTCTTTTGAATAACAGTTAGGCTCGGGCACCCGACCAAAGAAGAAAAATCGGACACCTATAACATAATTGAGATTTTTTTATAATATACTTAGGTTCAAACGTGTATTTTTTTTTGAAACATGTTTTAATGGTTTGAACCAATTTTTTAGGAGCCTAAGAAAAAAAACTTAAGTTAACACAACTAAATATTTCAACGTAAGTTTTTGTTGTGTTTAATAAAATTTTTAAATTTATAATGACTGATATTCTCTTGCATCTGTATAGCTTGATGTTTGGTCAACTAAAATAATTGGACGCCCATTTTCTCCATGTGGTTTGTACATTCCTTCAGGTTTTTCTTTTACAAATTTTTGAACGAAATTTTGAAACGGTGGAGCAGCAATCATCGGTGCGGGCCCGGCACGCGCAGAAGTGAGAGGGTCCACCGTACGTCTGCCTGCCGCGTGGGCCCTACTGTCCCGTTTCGCGTCACTGCGAAACGCCGCGTAATCCTGTACGCACTCCCCCGTGACACAATTCGTCGTTTGCCTTGGTATCATTATTTTCGGAGAAAAATTTTTTTATGCCACTGAAGTTTGGTACGTTTCCTTATACGTTATTTAAAATTTTCCCTGATTGTTTTTATTTGTAGTTCATCCACATTAAACTATGTACATTCATAACGGGTGATCAATTTGAGGAAAAATGTTTGTCTAGAAAAACAAATATAGCGAAGTGAGCGTAGCTTAACTGGTTAGGTTTCTTATGATGAAATCAGTTCACACAGATTCGTTTTAGACTTAACATGGGTTCTCGCATTTACGGCTAATTATTTTTTCAATGATATGTGACTACCCGTCGACAGCGAGACAATCATAGTGACTTTGTTAATTTCAAGATATGCCGGTCAATATTTAATATTTTAAAGATGCTCATAGTTCTAAGGTGATGAGGACATCCTCCACTATTACCCGCTGGCAGAGATGCTAAAGTCGGGCGGCGACCGTGTGAGCCTCTGAATAATCCCACCTTGCTTAGCTTGGGAGGAGGAAGCCACCTTAAAAGGGAGAGCCACACTTCCCCTACCGGACTAGTCTTTTAGGGAGATTGGGCCTTTCCCTGAGTGGGTGTACCAAAGAACTGTTGGGGTCCGGGCAACCTTAAGTTATTGGGCCTCGGCCGACCCCACCTGAGCCGGATTGTTATCATTTGGTATCAGAGCTGGGCCCTTGTTAAGGGGGTGGTAATGATGAGGACATCCTCCACTATTACCCGCTGGCAGAGACGCTAAAGTCGGGCGTGAGTGGGTATGCCAAAGAACTGTTGGGGTCCGGACAACCTTAAGTTATTGGGCCTCAGCCGACCCCACCTGGGCCGGATTGTTATCATAAAGTGCTCATATGGGTTGAGTGTGCCTCAGCCGACCCCACCTGGGCCGGATTGTTATCATAAAGTGCTCATATGGGTTGAGTGTGTATGGATTCGTTTATAGGGGTAAATATACGTGTGTCGTGAGTATCTGCGCTTGTACTGTATCTCTCTTTTTTTAAAAAAAAATAATTCTTCGTAGAGAGCCGGGCTTTCAGAAATCGTTCAAAAACCCAATCATTGTCCGGATTTCATGTGACAACGCGAAGTCGATCAAATGACAAGCATTGACCATACAAAAAGGTATAACCATTATTATTGATCGATCGGCAAGGATATGTACGGGTGTGTTTAGATTCAAACTTTGGATCCAAACTTCCAACTTTTTCCATCACATCAACCTGTCATACACACAACTTTTCAATCACATCGTACCAATTTCAACCCAAACTTCTAACTTTGGAAGGAACTAAACACAGCCGTACTATAGTGACTTGTAACTAATCAAATCAAGTCGTAATATCACTGTCAACCAACTAGCTAGCCAAGCAAGTCCCAAGGCTCAAGCACCTTACATCCACATAAAGCTATACCTAACAGCATAGTTACATTTGCTTCATGGATAAAAGGCGCAGTTACAAAATGCTAAATTAGTTTGACTTCATGTCAAGAAGAAATTAAAACGGAACATATTACTATACATATGTACGCAACCAGGGAAATCGACATCGTCCATATCTGGTCAGTATCTCTTACGAGATGTCGACTGCTTGACCATGCATATAGAAAGTTGCATGAAAACAGACCAAACTAATGAGAATAACAGTATAATACGAGT